ACTCAGCAAGAGAGGTTTTTGGAACAAAAAAAGTGCACAATGGGAAAAAAGTATTCACCAAAGAGGATAAACCCTGGTTTACCCGTGAATGTGTTAAGAAAAGAAAAGAATTTCATGAATCTAAGAGAGATTACAAAAACTTTAAAAGCCAAAGAAATCGGAAAAGAATGAACAAAAAAGGTAGAGAATACAGAAAACTCATTAATAGTAGCTATAAAAAGTTCCAAGAAAATATTGAACATGAAATGAGGAAAGCTTCCAAATTTAAACCAAAAGCCTTCTGGGATATTTTGAATAGAATTGATAAGCCTAAAGGTCGTCGTAAAGTTGATCTGACAATAGACGAACTACATGACTATTTTAAAAAATTGAATCTTAATAATGAAACAGAGGAGGAATTTGAAATTCCACCTGTAAATGAATGTTTGTATGATAATATTTTGAATGATAGAATTACTGCTGATGAGATTGTTCATGCTATAAAACATTTGAATAATAACAAAGCTTGTGGTATTGATAATATAGTCAATGAATACATAAAGAGTACGGTTGACACAATGTTACCTGTATATATTGATATGTTTAATATAATATTGGACACTGGTATAATACCGGAAAGTTGGAGTACAGGAATAATCAATCCAATCTATAAGAACAAAGGTGATCGCAAAAAGTTGGATAATTACAGGGCTATTACGTTGGTCTCGTGCTTGGGAAAAGTTTTTACGTCGATTTTAAATGCAAGATTATACAAACTATCTGATGAAATTGAACTCATAAGTAACGCACAAGCAGGTTTCAGAAAAGGTCACTCAACACTAGACAACATTTTTATTTTACACGTTTTGACAACGTTATATTTATCCTCCGGTAGAAAACTATATTGTGCATTCGTTGACTTTAGAAAAGCCTTCGATTCGGTGTGGCGAATAGGCTTGTGGCAAAAACTACTCAAATGTAACATAACTGGTAAAATATTTAAAGTTTTAATTAACATGTATTCTGATACGAAATCTTGTGTGAGAAATGGGAATGAAATGTCAGAAATGTTCACTTCAAATGTCGGACTAAAACAAGGTGAAAATTGCTCGCCTTTTTTATTTGCAATATTTTTAAATGATTTAGAAGACTATTTATTGGAAAAAAATGTCGATTGTTTACTAAAGATTGATGAACTTTGTCATGATCATATTGGTATGTACGTAAAGCTTTTTGTTATTTTATATGCTGACGATACAGTGTTAATGTCAGAGACAGCAGATGGTCTACAATCAATGCTAAATAAATTTCAGGATTATTGTGAGAATTGGAAACTAACGGTAAACACACAGAAGACAAAAATTGTCATCTTTTCTAAACGAAAGAATACTAACAGATATCGATTTCTATTACAGGATAATGAGCTAGACATTCAAGATTCTTTTCCATACTTAGGTGTTCTATTTTACTATAATGGGAGGTTTGTAGTGGCAAAAAAGCAATTAGCGGAACAGGCCCAAAAAGCACTATATGCCGTATATAAGAAAATAAGAAATGTTTCGTTACCCATTGATTTACAATTCAAATTGTTTGACTCGCTAGTTGCTCCAATTTTGCTATACTCATCAGAAATATGGGGCCATGAGGATGTTAGTATACTTGAAAAAATACACCTCCAATTCTGTAAACGAATTCTTGGTCTACGCAGAAATACTTGTAATTTTATGGTATATGGAGAAACGGGCAGATACCCTATTGAGGTTGATGTCAAATTAAGAATGATTAAATTTTGGTATACACTTACCTCGAGTGAAAATAAGTTGTCTAGTCGAATGTACAAATTGATGTACTCATTACATGAAAATGGACAAATCGAGTTTAAATGGTTGAACTATGTTAAACATATCCTGGATAGCGTAGGTCTAAGCTATGTTTGGATCCATCAAAAAACCTGTCTGCCCGATATTACTTATTTAAAAGCTGCAATTATACATAAATTACACGATCAGTTTATTCAATCCTGGTTTAATAAAATTGACACCTCATCCAGAGGACGATTATACTCTACATTTAAATATCGCTTTGGTTTAGAAGACTATTTGATCAGATTAAACGCAAAAGATAGGAAAATTATCTGCAAATTTAGAACTTCAAATATTAAGCTTCCAGTAGAAACAGGAAGATGGGTGGGAATTCAAAGACAGGACAGAATATGCCCACTTTGTAATACTGGTATTGGGGACGAGTATCATTACTTATATACTTGTAATAACGACACTTTAGTCAAAATAAGGGAAAAACATATTCCGGCCTATTTTTATACAAGTCCAAACCAACATAAAATGAAAGGAATGTTCACAATCTTTAATATGAAATTGTTAAAAAGTGTAAGCTTATTTGTTCAAAAATTAACAAAAGTACTTTAGTGTCTCTATTCTTTAAGTTTTTCTTTTGTTTGCTAGTGACATTTTTATAAGTTGAACACTGAATTATTTGTATGTAACTACACGTATATATATTTTTTATGTACTATGCTATGGTATAGAATGTTTGCCTGTCATGCACTCAAACTATGTTATATATACATGACCTCTTGTTACACATATTATGTGTGTCTGAGTGAAATAAAAATCTTGAAATCTTGAAATCTTGACAGTTTATATCAGAGGCTGGAAGTAACCTGGCCTAGGGTATATTTGGGAAAATTATATTTACGACAACAAGATTTATTAATTAATTAAAATAAATGTTTATTGATTTTTTTAGGGCAGAATGTTTAGAAAAAATGGAAATATCATCAAAAGCAAATGTTTATATATATACGATCATTTTGATCTACAAAACTACCTGCATACACCCATACAAAAAAGAATATCTAAAATAAATCAAAACAAAATCTCTCCATAACTTACAATTATAAAAAGGGTGATATCAAAACATTGAATCGTCGAGTGTGTAATGTTTGTAATTTAGATGATGTTGAAGTTCATGTTATTCACATTTGCGAGCAGTTGTTTTGAAAAGTTGTTATATTAGAAAGCCAAGCATGTTTAAATTGAAAGGACTACTGAGTGTGAAAAATACAAAAGAAATAACGAACTTATGGAAATATATAAAATTTGCAAATTCGAGAAGAACCTAATTATTATAAATAGATATACTTGCACTTGTATTTGTGTTGTGAGTGTGTGTAATGTTGTGTAATATTATTTTGTATTTTGCACAGTAAATATCTCAAATATTGTTACTTTTTAACTGGTGAGTCGAACGACTCAAAGTAATAAAGAACTTTAACCTGAACCTGGCGATGAAGCTACGTACATGTATGACAAAACATGAACTATTGTAGCACTTACACTTACATGTATTCAGCACAGATATACACAATTTTATGTAGTTTTACCACTCATCTATTGTGGCGTTGTCTATAAAAAAGTCTGACAACGGTCAGAGACGTATACTTTAAAGCGAAACATTTTCACTTGCTTTTGTGTGCGGTAGCATTCCCCATCACCAGTTTCACGAAAAAGTACTTAATTATGGAGACTCCTTAACTTGAAATTTCATGAAAATGACATCATCTTCCCTCAACGCCAATAACGTTTTCATGTGGAACTACAGATAAGAGGTTGTGAGCAGCCTCACATAGATATACATGTATTCCCCCACAAGGACAAAATGTTATAAATGAGTGATAAATAAACACCTCCCCGTACCCACACCCTTTTTCTTTGCTCTACTCTACCATGACTAATTGTCCCTGGACCCTGATCGGAAAGTTATCCCACTAAGCACCCAACATTCTTGATCCACGCCTGTCTTGGTACAAACGTACATGTAGAAACTGAAAAATAGAGATATTGAAGTTGGACTGTGGTCTCAGTCCCTATGTCATCTGACATCAGACCCCTATACCATCTGCAGTACACAGCCCTCATGTTGTGCCAGACAGTCATAGTTTCACCAGTACCAGGATTCAGACAGGTTATATGTACCTGTAGAAAAGTCAGTATAGATACCTTCTATATTCAAACTGAAAAAAATAATTTACATTATCGCGCACTCAATCATATATAATAACTTCTGTAACAATATATATGTACAATGTAAACTTAAAACAGCCTCTTCGTAGCCTACAGTTTACTGACTTTTCTTCCTATTCATTGTGGGTATATTCGTTTCGTTTTAGATATTTTATATGCTTCCGCTTTTTATGTAAACTCATTCTTGTCACCACAAACGAATCACCGTTTGAAGGCGTCATCCGTAGCACTTCCGTACCGTTTGCGTAACACTTCCATACCGTTTGCGTAGCACTTGCGTACCGTTTCCGTACCGTTTGCGTAGCACTTCCGTACCGTGTCCGTAGCACTTCCGTACCGTTTCCGTAGCACTTGCGTACCGTTTCCGTAGCACTTTCGTACCGTTTCCGTAGCACTTCCGTACCGTTTGCGTAACACTTCCGTACCGTTTGCGTAGCACTTGCGTACCGTTTGCGTAGCAATTCCGTACCATGTCCGTAGCACTTCCGTACCGTTTCCGTAGCACTTGCTTAGCACTACCGTACCGTTTGCGTCCCAGGTGGAACATTAAGTACACGTTAAGCATAACTATTGAAACTTTACCGGTACTCCCTTAGTCAGATGTTTAAGCACTACCGCATTTGGTTCAACAAAAGTTTAGATCAATCTTGAATTGAAACGGTTTTGTACATCTCGTTTAACAGCATCAATATGTGTAACTGAACCTCCAGTGAATAATAATATACAATTATGGGCTTCCGATGAGGTATAAGTCTGAGTTCCAGACTTTGTCTGACCAATATTTACCGAGGCCATAATTGAATATTGTTCGGACTATGTTCGTAAATCAGGAACAGACCAAAAATTGAAGACCATAATTGTTTTATCATCAAATGAAATTTATATCATTTTTCATGTCATAAACACATGGATGGTATACAAATTTTTGGAAACACAGAGTGAATGACTTCAAATACAAATAACACACACAATTTCAGATTCAATTCATGTGATATTTAATTTTAAGTGCATATCATTTGCACAATCGATATCATCAATATGATCACATAGTTTAGAATTTGTTGAGATAATTCATTTGTAGTTGAGATTTACAGACTGGCTAGGAAATTACATAGGCATATTTTTTAGTAACGGTCTGTAACACTTTCGATTGATAGGTCGAAGTCTGTAACACTTTTCTATTGATAGGTCGAAGTCTGTAACACTTTTCTATTGATAGGTCGAAGTCTGTAACACTTTTCTAGTTATAGGTCGAAGTATGTAACACTTTTCTAGTTATAGGTCGAAGTCTGTAACTCTTTTCTATTTAAAGGTCGAAGTCTGTAACACTTTTCTATTTATATGTAGAATGAGGTCTATAACAGATAATTGATTGGCTGTTCAGATTTGATTACATATCAATTCAAATTAATAAACTGCTTGCTCGGACGCAGGGTCAGTCAAATCTACCTGCAGAAAGCTAAAAATATTTCTATACAAATTATAGCATCACCAAATACCAGAAAAACGAAACTGTTTCTAAATTCGAAACATCATGCATTTCTCTTCATCGCCCTATCCTTATCTTCTGGCTGCTTACAAACAAACGATAAACGTTTGCAAGATATGTTGATTTACATAATAAGATATAATGTAGCAAGTATTACTTATCTATGATACAAATCCACTCATTCGTGTTGATTTGTAAATCCAATTTATAGTACTGATTAGTGTTAGAAATATGCTAGAGCTAGACTTATATCCATCTAAGAAGTTAATATAGAAGTTTGTTTGTAAATGTCTCCAGTCCATGACGTCATATGCTATCTCATACACGTTTCCTAGCGACGACTTCTATTAAGCCCAGCTGTGGAGTTTGGTTGTCGTTTTTGTACGCGAAATCCCACAACATCGAGAAATATATTTCAACCAGGCTTTCTCTTTCCTGTTGGGATCTCGTGCATGATAACCCGTTGTAGATATAACCATACAGCCATGGCTTGATTCCAGCAACGATTCTGTCTGCGTACACCTTTTTGGTGGCATCATCTTATTACCAAAGAGAAAAAAAGACATTTTAAACCATGATTACCTAAAAGCAGTAAAAATCCTTGAAACGTGTACGAATATCACTGTCATGCAAACAACATCAGTATGCAAAATGAATGATGATACGATATACGCGTATCATTTGCATGATAAAACGAATCTTCAATATACGTTATATGACCGGAATTCGAAAACTATCATAAAAAAATGATATGTTCAATAAATGCATTAATTTTGCATTTTGATAAAAGTATCTTTCCTGTTAAATAAGATTTAATTTAGTAAAATAGAACAAAAAAAATTTAAAACAACTCTTCAGAAATGTGTTTTTTTAGATTGACATTCATTTTGACAACTACCTGAACGTAGTTGATTTAACAACAAAATAAGTAAATCAGCGTGAATAATGTAGTAGATTATTTACCTTTGTTGTATACAGCAAAGGAAGGATGATCCAGTTTGTGAACAAATGATCGCGTAGAAACCAGTTCCAAACCTGTTTCTGACAGGTCCTTGGCATTGTCTCTGAACGGTAAGGCATAGGCCTCCTCTGTTCTGTACAATTCAGCATTTAGATTACAGTCTAGGAACTCCTCCTGTAATCATTAAGTAAATCTTCAATATTTCTCCAACACAAGCCCGAGGCAGGAGGTGTTTATCAGATCACATTAAGATCTTAATTGCCATTTGTTTACGAATTATACTATACGTATCAAATGTACAAAACAAAAATACTACGTTCAGATTGAATATACACGATATCGAGAATGCAACATACTGTATTATGGCAATTCATATATCGTCTGCCCTCTTTCAATATATATGTAAAGATCGTTGATCAAATTCGTATATCAAACATGGAAAGCAAAAAACAAATCTGCGTCAAATAAAACGAGATCTGTGGTAAGTATGCTTGAAATGTGTGTATCATTGCATCATTTTCCGAGTAGATAATCTCAAAATGTGCAGACAATGACAAAGTATTGCACTAAATCTCACCTTAGTAATAATGTCGTCTGCCAGCAAATTTCGTATTACATGCGACAGAGTATTATATCCACCTTTTATAGGCACTGACACCTCTCCTTGTTTCGTAGTTCCAATACTCAGTACCACCAGGTATCCTCCTTTAAAATCAATGTTTTAAATGTGCTCAGAAAAGTTATCGTCAAAACTGTTCTGGATTTATTTTGCCGAATCACCCATATACGAATTAAGGGCCATACCATTGAATTGAATGGCTGTTTATTGAGTTCAGTGATTTACGTTATAAGCGGTTGGTTTTGAAAGAAATATCTCAATTCCTACTCAAATTGGACTCAATGCAACTACCAAATGTAAACTGTTTGATTTTGATAACATTGCCTGTGCGTATGATTTTGCTTATGGAGATAACTAATGACATGTTTAAACAAAGATACCACTTGAGATTTCACATTTTGATTGAAGTAACACAAGAAATTGTTCAAACAACCAAAAACGATCAATCAACAAAATATTATCAGCTCACGGTTGCTAGCGGTAATGACAAATCTTTTGCTGCCCTAAACATTCTCCTTCCAGCTAACAATTCTGCCTTGTGTAAGTAGGCAACCCCCGGTACATACCGAAAACTTAGATTAACAGGGGTCGTTACAAATGTCTGAAATACACATATCATGCTATAACTGAAATGGGTGACAGCACACATGAACAAACATATACATGTATGTTTAATTGTGCTTTGACCCTTATAAGTATAACATGTGTGTATGCATGTATGTGTATGTGTACTGTGACCCATATCAGTATAGCACATGTGTATTTCTGGCATTTGTATTCTTGTGGTAGATCTATGTTGTCCCGTCTTATATAAAATACAGTCGAACAGCCGAATGCCATATTGAATGTTTCGTCCCTTCATGTCCCGTCTAGTGTCCTGTCTAATTCGACATTCGATAACAGCAGCTTCACATTTAGCGGCTCTCCACTTCGAGCTAATTAAAAGATGGCTGCCGCAGACTCGCAGCTGAGCCTGTGCACCGCTTCTAGACATTATTTGTCCACGATGACGCATCAGAAAATTTGATATCTTATAAGTTCATCAGCAAAAACTAAATATGACATTTAAAATATGGTTTTCTGTTTTGTTTCTACATACTTTTGCTGTATTGAACTATCAACGTACATCATCATGTTGTATGATGGTCCTTCAATGATGGACTACATTTGTTTACATTACGTCAATACGTAGACTTGCACAAGGTCCAGAACCTTGGACAAACGATCAGAATGGACGTTACAAGTTCAAATTATTGAAAACAACGAGTTGATTGAAATATAAGGATTTAATCTTGCTTTGGTCGAATTCATGGGTTGATGAATTGAGTTGGTATTGAAACAAATTTAATGAACTGCTTGAAATCGACCAAAGCAAGATTCAATTCTTGAATATATCCATGCAAACACTTATTTATAATGTTGAACTAGACTTATATTCATTGCATTATCTTTACTATATTAATACTACTCACAACTTTTCGGCGTCTTTGAAAAAGTCCATTTGGATTTTTTAAAGAAGATAAATTGCCCTCGCTTCTATAAAAACACATATTTTCACTAACATGTACATTCATTTTTTATGTTTAAGGTGCTTGTGCATTTGTTCTAGTCTGTTATCAAAACTGATTTTAACACCGATTCACACAAATGAATATATTTCAAATATATGTATTTGTACTCAACCTGGGCGAAGTTCCCGTCCCCGCATTACCAAAAATGTTTTCCAGTCTGAGGCTGCCTGGGAATTAAAGGCGTCCATTTCTTTTGAATTCTCCTTGGTTGGGTTAAGGCCATCTTGAATCTTGCAGGGGCTAAATTTAAACATTTGATAAACTGTAACTCATTTTGTTTTGTTTTGACGTCGAATTTGATAGCAGTATTGAATACAGGAAATGTTGCTATTTAGGTAATTGAAAAAAAGAAATTAGTGTATTATTTTGGTTCGAGCCACTTAATACATTTTATCAAAACACAGCTCCCCTATAGCAAAATAATTTCGAGCCTTAGCAGACTACAAAAAGCAAAACCCGATAGTAATTAAACCACTTATTCCTTGTTGAATGATACATGTATGCAATTGTGACTAGTGGCTATTTTACAATACTAAAATGAAAGTTGAAACTAAATCTAAAACATCCTCCTAGATTAAGCAAAAGTTACCGATGATAGTTGTTATACTGTTTCTGAAATATCTCATATGGTTGGCATTTTAAAAAGCTGTACACATCAAACTCTGACAAAGTGATTGAAATTTAGGAAGCTTTACACCGGGTGAATCCCCCATTTAAAGACTTCTGAACAAAAGGTCCAACGTTTAAAATATGTGCTAAAGATATATTGAAAAATATTTAGTACAGATATGCGAATGCGAGGTCGTATATTGGAATGATTATTGTGGAAGGTCGTTATCACCTTTTTGACAAATAAAACGTTGCAATAGCTGAAAAGATCAGATCAGTTGATTTATCTGGTAAGCATTGCTCGAACATCGTCCTTCCAACAGCAGCACAGAACACCTTTGGGCCAATATTTAGACCGGCTTGATATGACAAGAAAAATGAGGTAAATGGAAATTACATCACATGTAAACGCGAACTAAAATGACGCAATAATCATTTAGATACACATATGATGTACTACTGTAACTCGTTTTGGTATGTTTCTGTTATTACCTTTATTCCAAGAAATCCTCAAACTGTTTGTTCTGAAATTATAATCTTCCCATTGTTTGCTTAGGAAAGCAATGCTAAAAGCGTGTTTGTATTGCGATATTCCATTGCATACTTATTCACTCTAAATTCATAACAAACGAAAACAAAATAGAAATAGAGTTAAATATATAAATTTATCAGAATCATCTTGGCATGCTAATCTAAAAAATGTCACACAAGTTTCTTTTACCGTTTATGACATTGAACATTCTGTTGAAATCATTCGTCTGTTGATCTGTGTAGTAAATCATAAGCTGACGAGATTTTCCAGTGTGACATTGGATCTTTCCTGAAATATTGAGTGTAAAGGGATAATTAGTATTGCATTTGGCAATATACCGTTAATGACATCACTAGGTAATTCGTATAAGATAACTTAGTCAAACTGTCTGGCAAGGTAAAGTTGGACAATTATTTGTTATTAGTTATTCTGTGAGACAGTGTTATCTTTGAGAGTAGGAGGAGAGTCGAGTGGGCCATTAGTAGTCAGAGTGGTCAGTGGTTCTAATTAATAAGTTGTGTCAACCACAGCTGTACATATCAGTGAGTGTCTGCGGAGGGTCTGTAGTTGTTTATTTGTTTACGATTAGGCGTGCAATTTAAATGTAGAGACATATTACTTGGTTCTGGAGATCTTATTAAGTTGTCAATTAAAGTTCGGACCGTTAGGGAGAATGTTGATTGAGAATGACCAGTGTCATGAGAACAAAGGGTGGTGTGTGTTACAGTGGGGATAGGACAGGCTGTGTGGTGTGATAGAGGAGTTTAGTGTTGTGTGGTGCACGAGAGAGGATGTAACTCTGAGAGAAAGAAACTACTGAACATATGTTGTGTAAATACGTGTACTATTAAATATCTATTGGACATGTGTGTAAATAAACTGTAAATAGTGAACAGTGCATTGTTTCATAATTAAGACAACAAAAGACAAACCAGTGGCTCCGTCACAATTCGTTATTCAATCTTAATTAAGTTCGATGTGAATACTCTCTGTGGCATCCCCTGTACGTGCAATTTTTCAAAAGTTGTGCACCGGCATCCGTTTTACATTATTTTTTCTTTTTAATTTTGAATAACGAATAACGAATAACTGTCCAACTTTATCATTCCAAATTATCTTTCATTTGATTCTTTTCAAAACAGTCTTCTCTATCTATCCCAAGACCATTAAAATAGGGTGTCATATTTTTGTTTAAACTTGATTTCGTAACGTGTTCTACGGTGTTCATTTGCAACATTATTGCAATATCGTTCTGTAGTTCTGTGTGACTTGACGCAAATGCAATATTTCTTAATAGCCAGTTCTTCTTAAGACTTTTATTAAGTGATTGATTTCTTGTTCTGCTAGTGACATAACTATATTTGTCTACTTGATAAGTAGATGATATAACACATATGTCCATGTCATATTGAAATTATTAAACAAGTTTAAAAAAAATTCAATAAATCATGAACACGAATGCAAGATTCTATTTATCTAAGTACTCCCATCATACTATTGTCGCTCTGAGCAGTGACAAAGAAGTCCCGGTTTATTTTTAAATAGTGATCATTTTTAAATGTGATGCGAATAATATTGACCAAATAAACATTTTAAATTTATTAAGAATACCAGCAAATGTATCATATGGTATAGTAAATAAAACTAGAACCCCAAGTAGCGTTGGAATATAATATCATGGTTTTGACCAATCAGAGTAGCTTTGGGTTTCATACAACATATGTATGACATGGTCGTATGGCATAGGTCAAAATGTGATGACAGTATGTTTCATAAAAAAAGATCGGATGCGAAAAGTGAAATACCAATGACTTCATTTAGAAGCGCCGCTGATGTAGATCCATCAGACGTCCCGACATCAGCAATTGTGATCGGATGTTGTGAGGTGTGCGTACACTCAAGTATATGATCTGAAAATGAAAAGACGTTTAACGTTTTAAATTAAAAGTAACTGCAGTCAGAACTATGTCATATTCCCTTACCATGACCTGTTTTGGTATATCGCCTAGGCATATATATACATTCAGTCGTAATATGTAATAAGTGTATAATATAAAAAAAAATACACTTTTAACTTCGGAGTTATACTACCTTCATATTGCTGATATGGAATAATTATCAACGCTTTTGTTGTGTTTAAAACAAATGAATCGTTCAACTATTGTATACAGTTGTTTACCTAAGCAGTCCATAATCACGTCCCGGCTTTTGTAGAGGGAGTGTCCATTAGTTGCTAACATTCCACCATGTTTCAATGCGAATTCATCAAACATCATCGGCGTTGTGGTTCTGCTCTCCATTTATGTTTTATTTTACTAAAACCGATATTTTTATTATAAAAATTCAATTTCAAAACAACTCCTATTACTCAAACAATTGGATTGGATTATAAAATATATACATTTGAAACCACACTGCTTAACTGTATCAAACTTGCCTCATCTGTGGGGCAATATGATAAGAAAATAGGTTTCTATATTTTAGACATAATCAACTCGTCTGAGTCATGTGGTGGGGAAAACAAAGCTAAATTCAGGAAATGTTGTCCGGAAGTAGTTAGTTCCGCTTTTTGATTATTTTGAGTGCAAGTTATATATTCCACAGTAGTAAACAAACAGTGGAAACACGCCTCTCTCTGTCTTTCTGTATCTTTGTCTCTCTCTGTCTCTGTCTCTCTCTCACGTGAAAGAAGGAATGAGAGGGTTAGTGGGGGAATGATAACCTACATAGATATATTTTTATTGATGTTTTTTTTCTGGGATGGTTTTCCCATCGTTGCTGATTTATATTAATCCCCCCCCCCCTCCCATTTTTTTTTATATTTCCCACTCTCCGTCTCCCTTCTCTGATTCTCTCATTTGTTTTGTCTCGTTTTCTGACATTCTTACTTATAGTCATCTTACAGTTTTTATTTTACTATTTCAATGCGTAACATTTGTAACCAGATGCCTTGTTTTCATTTGATTACCAAACATAAGTGGAATCATTGAAGTATGTATATGTATGCACTAATTCTTAATTGGAAAATTCAATTCAAAGTCAAGTCACACAAAACTCAATTTGCTTCATATAGAATAAGGAGGAAGCATTTGGAAAAATATTGAATCTGTATCGTTATTCACAAAGTGATACAAGGATGCGCATGAAACATCTTGTTAAGGCGCTGAAATTGTTGAATCGCATATAATTATAGGATATGCTCTAATCTCTGTATAATTCTTTGTTAATGTCATTGACTCGGACCTAGTATGTATAGATATGTGTTTGGAGTGTTAGTAGGAATAGCACATAGTGTATGTAGTATTATTCTACGAATTATATGGATTAGTATTGTTTTTAATACAATTAATCGAGTTGGTGTTTTGAAAACATCTGAATAAATAATTTTGACAAACATTTTTTTTTCTTTTGAATTGATATTGAATTTATTTGAATAAAGAAATGAATGATTTGTCATCACCTCTCAAATACCTTATTGTTCAATTGCATAACAATGTATACAAGTCTGACCATTGAGGGACCATTTAGTGGCCAACTATGGCACCTATCCTTTATAATGCATTCTAATAAGTCTCATAAACATTCCTGACAGTGAATGTAATTGAATGGATCGCTCGCGACATGGAACGTTCTAGGTTTATTTGTAACTTCATTCCCTATGTTTTGGATAATAAAGATACACTTAATTAACTTTATTAAATTTGATAAAGGAAATGACTAGTCATATTAACAAAACTGTTCGAAAAGGAAGTAGGAGGAAATATTCAAAGATATAATGAGATTTCTGAAGTTTGTATACTTGTGTGGACATTTGGAAGGATGACAATATCGTTATACAATAGTATATACGGTTGATAGGACGCATGATTTGTCGCTTCACACAAAATAATGTTATGGTCGTCGGATGATGTACTGAATTTATTTTTAAATAACAAGTAACAGTATGTATCAATTAATTAAATGTGTCCACCTACCTTTGATATTTTACTTTATGCGAGTAAACGGGAAACTGTAGCCTTCTGTGTTGTGTCGATGGTAGTCAATAATAAGACGTAATTGTATGTTAAAATGTGCATGTGACATGATATTATTCAGATTCAGATTCCATGCGACTGGTTACAACATAAAGTTAGTGTCAATAATGTACAAGCACGGCTCTTCCGCGGCATTCACTGTTCCCTGTCTCTCGAGGTTCAAGATGTGTTCTCGATTACTGACCTTCGACTCCCTTTGAAAAAATCTCCAAGTAGATTTAACAAAATACACTACATAACTATTCATGCGCATTTATCGTCTCACAGTTCATTTATGATAAGTCACGTGCAATGATTAAAAAAATGCACCTGTCTGACTATAGGCCATTGCCTCATATTCTTATCTCCATGTTTAGCCCTGACTGATTTTTATCACAACGGATGGGGACTCCTAGCATTATCTACCAAAGCAGCAGTCTACATGTCAATAAAATTACCGGTTAAACCAGACAAATTGATGTTTCGAATCGAACAGTAATGAATACTCTCGTTTTTTGGCATTAAAAGCAAATTGATGTGATGCCTTGCTCGTTTGATATTGATGACATATTATGAAATTTATCTGTACCTTGATATTTTTCAGACGGTGATAGAAATACTGTTTTGACTTTCGAGACGTTTAACCTTTGATATATGGAGACGGCATACCTGATACATGACACGTCAAGCTCATGTTCATATCTTATATAATGAGATCAATTACTCTGAGAGATTGTAAACGTCTGCTGAAATGAAAAAGATTCTGGTGAATGTCTGTAACTGTCAAATTATTCAACGTCACCGTTTCATTTGTAATATGAAACTAGCCAATGTTTTCAAGGAATACTGTTGACGACTGTGTTACTATAAATCTCGCTGGGAACGTTGTCGTTTCTGGGATTACATCACGAGCATAGGTAACTTAGATAACCCGTCATTGCAATGCATAAGTGACTCCCAGTCTGACGTTACATTCTTTCAAGAAGGTAAGAAATTGCGAGTCAGCAAGTCTTGGTTCTAAACCGAATGCATACAAGGCACATCCTTGACCAATATCCCCTCTCTCTCTCTCTCTCTCTCTCTCTCTCTCTCTCTCTCCCTCTCTCTCTCTCTCTCTCTCTCTCTCTCTCTCTCGCTCTCTCTCTCTCTCTCTCTCTCTCTCTCTCTCTCCCTCTCTCTCTCTCTCTCTCTCTCTCTCTCTCTGTGTCTCTCTCTCTCTCTCTCTGTCTCTCTCTCTCACTCTCTCTCTCTCTCTCTCTCTCTCTCTCTCTCTCAGTTTTTAGTAGCTTTTAATTTTTTGCATTTCTTCGAATCCTTGCTTGTTTATGTTTGTGTATGTAAAATTGTGTATGTGGGTGGGTGTGTATGTATGAGGATAATGATAATGATGATGAATTAATGATTGATGATAATTAGGGCTACATGATGTTGACTGATGAGGAATGATTGATCGATTGATTGAATGATACTGATGATGATGAGGATGATGATGATGATGATGATATGTGATGATATGATGATCATAGTATATACGATAACTGATGATAATGATGTGTAATCAAGTTAGGATGATGAAATTGATGATAATGATGATGATGATGATGATGATGATGATGATGATGCTGATGATGATGACGATGATGATGATGATGATGATGATGATGATAATTGCTGATCCATGATGTTGTCTGATGAAGGGTGATTGATCGATCGATCTGTCTGTGTAACCCTTTTATTTAAAATTGTCCATAACCGATATTACAACATAATTTTAACAAACTACCATATCTGTGTTTAACTAAAAATAAAATCAATCATACACAAAACAGAAATTAGATATACAGAAAAAATGGTTATCAAATTGAAAGTGATTGTACATAAAAAAAATCAAACTAAACTTTTGTGTTTTTGTTGAGATAACGGGCGTGCAAACGGCAATTTATATCAGATTATGTAGTTCTTCTTTCGTGCCTTGACGCATGTGAAGTTCAATGACATATGACTTCCAATATTTCGTTTGTCTTTCACACGGAAGCCTGAACTAGTCAAAAGGGTATCCTTGTTTTCAGATCCCCATCCCATGCCGTGACCAGGAGGAACATCTACTCACAAACTATAAGGGAGGAAAATCACGGAGCTGATGGCGTACCCTGGTCCTGCCACGTTCGTATCTCCCACGTTGTCTCTATGGCTACTGTGTAAGCCGGGATCATTAATAGAAGCAACACCGTCGTCCTTCAAGACACGATAAACCTCTTTCATAATACTGGCGGGATCAGGAAGATCGTGAAGAACGTCATACATAATCACCCAGTCAAACGTATGTGTCCATTCAACGGGCAGCGATGTAGCGTTTAGCTTAGAAACTTTACGTTTTTGATGCCTTGGGTTTTAGATGTCGAAATGGCGTTTGCTATTGCCATCTCATTGTAGTCAATACCGTATGAATTTACCTCAGAAAATCGCCTGCTTAATGCCCTCGATACATTCCCTCCTCCGGATCCTAGATCTAGTATGGTGGTGAGCGATTCTGAAAGTAGACAGCACAAATGTATATTATTTCAAGCAAAAAACACGAGTATTTTCCGTACTGTATATTTGGGTTTAAGTGTCATCTTATTTTGATTTTTTCTGTACAATACGTTTTTGATGTTTTTCTATTGTTAATGTTCGTAAAAGTATTTGATATACCAACTCCTTAGCCTGAAAAAAGTACTTCACTTCATACGACATTCGTGTAAGAGAAACGCCTTAAATTGAAAGGATATCTTTATTCATTAGTTTTGCTAATGATGTATGGGCACCACCTGGAATGGCAATATAGTTTCCAATATACATGTAGTCATTACTTTTCCATTTTTGTTATTCTGAATCAGGCTGCATTCTATCACCCGTGTACCGAAGTTTACATACCCGCTAAATGAATAAATGCTAAAGCATTATTTTTTCAAGTGAAATGGTAAATAATTGAAGAGTTGAGTCTAGAAGAAGGATGTTAACACGATTCTGCAAAAGACAAAAATAATCCTCCAAAAAGCGGGAGAGGGAGGAACAAAAAACAAGGACGATCAATATCATAGAACCTACCTATTCGGATATGCTGACACCAGAGAATATATTTCTCTGAATCTACTCGATTTTGATTGTGTCCTGGTGTTTCACTGCCCGTTTTTTTACACAATTAATTTGTACTTGTTCGTTTGACGGTACCGGCCTAGCAGATGGCCGATTACTTATCCCGACCACCACGTGCATGAAGCGCTTGGAAATATCACTCATATCAGCGTTGCATCGTTGCATTAATCACCGGCGAGTAAAAAACGGTAGCGACATAGACCGCCTGTGGACCGACATGCGAGTTTAATCGCAATGCAAAAACCTGGCTGCTGAAACGAACCGTACGCGCATTTTCTTTACGCGGTAACTGTTTTGTATGGTGGCTGATATATGACATTTCGTCTTTTCGCTTTGTCGCCCGCGAAATAACGCCAAGCGAAATAACGATATAACGAAATAACGCCAAAGCGCCAAAGCGACATAACGAAATAACGCCAAACCGAAGTGAAAATAACGCCAAAGCGAAGAGATAAAATGGCGTCTTTTCTCCCTCCTTTTGGCGTTATTTCGTTATTTAGCTTTGGCGCCTTGGCGTCTTTTCGTCTTTTCGCTTTGGCGCTTTGGCGTTATTTTGTCTTTTCGCTTTGGCGCTTTGGCGTTATTTGGTCTTTTCGCTTTGTTGCCTTCCGGTTCTGGATATTAAAGAAACGCTATCTTCGTGATTATAATTCCCCAATGACTTTGCTAGTGAAATGGAAATTAAAATGCACATATGTGACTTATGTTTCAGCATTTTAGGAAACATTTTACAACAACAATGATTAATATGTTTATAATTGTTAAATTAAAGAAAACAAATAAATTATTGTGTCCTTCTGTTCGTCCATCCGTCTGTCTGTCTTCTGTAGGTATGCTGTATGTATTCTGTATGTATTCCAACCAACAGAATATACTATTGTTATTAGTTGAACAATAAGAAGCATGTACGTGATTACACGTATATGTATACTATATAGAATAGGAGGTTGTTTATACGATGAATTTCGTCACAGGTGTATGCGATGTCTATATGAGAGTCAAGTACCGAGTTTTCTTTTTGTAAAATTTGTAAAATTTTATCTTGTTTTGACACATAAATATATTTAAACTTTATACGACCATAATAGCGGTAGCACTCGTTTGGGCATGGAGTCGGCTGCTGGATAACGGAGCTACTAGGTAGTAAAGCGGACGTAAAACGAACAATTGAAATCGGACCAATAGTGCGTGACTCGATTGACGCAGACAAGCTCCGCCCAACAGGCAATGCCCAACCAATTGTCGGGTTGCATCAACGAGGAGAATGCTGAGGGAATTTGAGTCTGTTTAAGTTTTCATTTCCTGAATTCCGGAACCTAAACCCAAAGAATGATAGTATTTGCTGCATTGAACTCTATATCTCCGACAATTGTTCTCCCGATATCGCACAGGTGACGCTTTTTTGCTGTTGTGATACTCTGCAAAGAACATTTATTGTACAGTCTAAACTAGCCTTCCGTGATTCCGGCTGCTAGTCGTTTTTACTTAATTTAAGCCGTAAACTGTTCTCAATTTCTGAAGGGTTAGAACTAGGTCTACTTTAATGATATGAAAATAATCTTTAATTGAGTTTACGTACTTAGA